TCTAGTATTCTCACTTAAATGTAAGACATTGCGCCATGGTGTATCTATTTTACCATCAAGACTCTTCTTATTGAAAGCTTTAACACAACACTCGTACATAGCTTTACTAGATGCTTTTTCTTTTCCCAGCAACCTCAAATTACTACACTTTAAAAAAAACCATCACACATTTCCAAATCAGGACTCAAAGACAAATTCGGAAACGGATCATCATTCTTTGGTTGAACACACCCTTCTTCAAAGTCTTTTAACATTTGTAACTCCTCTTTGGTAATGATTTCTTTCCACTTAGACAACAGCCGAGTTACCACCCGTGTTGACCTCATCCTCAACTTCTCTTCCATTGCTTTAGAGTCAGATAAATCATGTCCAGTTATACGAACTAGGCTTCCAAGAGTAACGATGTGAGATTTAATGAGTACGTCCATCAAAGCAGGAAAACATCCCTCCTTTGACACATCCAAACGTGATCCACAAATCAACGGTTCTTGAAGAGTCCAGTACAAAGAGTCTGTTATTTTACTTCTCGATGTTTTAAAAAGTGACCATACTTTGAATAAATTACAATAAAAAATAGGTAACTTAGATACAGAAAACTTCTTGAGGTTCGTCCAAAACAAAGACTTGTCAAGACCCAGGCCTTCAAAGTTCCTAATAATAATGGAAGCAACCAAACTCCAATTCTCATTCTCAGAACTTTCAAGAAACCTTTGTACATACTTTAGCCGAAAGGCGGCCACTAGACTCTGTAGATGAATCAGACCCTGTCCCCCTTCATTTTTAGGCAGATACAAAACACTTTGTGGCACCCAGTGTAAATTATCCCAAAAAAAATTAACTAAAATAGATTGAATTTTTTTCAGAAGAATTACTGGGGGGTCAATACATGCTAGCCAATGCCAAAGAGTAGAGGCTGCCAAATTGTTAATAATTAACACCCGCCCTCTATATGACATGTTAGAAAGTAAAAACTTCCATTTATTCAAACGACCCACAATTTTCTCTTCTATCCCCTCAAAATTCTTCTTTACAGTTATATCATCTCCCAAATACACACCTAAATATTTAAACCCATCTCTACTCCACTTTAACCCCGCGGGGAGACTGGGTTGTCCATGAGTCCACTTTCCAACCAAGATAGCCTCACTTTTATTCCAATTTACTCTAGCGGAGGAAACAAACATAAAATCCCTTAAAATCTTTGTTAACGTTGACACATCGCTGTGTTCTTTAATGAAAATCACAATATCATCAGCATAAGCTGATAGTTTAAATACTTTTTCACAATTTGGAATAGTTACACCCTTTAAATCTGCTCTAAACTTCCGTAAAAGGGGTTCAATTGTTAAACTATACAACATACCAGAAAGAGCACAGCCTTGCCTGATACCTCTAAAAACACTAAAAGGGGCACATAAGTCACCATTTACCTTCAGTAAACTTTCAACATCACAATAAAGAGCTTTTAACTTATCAATAAAAATGCTATTAAACCCAAAAGCTTCTAAAACCTCCCATAAATAACTATGTTCAATTCTATCGAACGCTTTCTCTTGATCTATTGAAATCAAACCAAAATCCACATCAAAGAGCCTACTGATGTCAAACATATCTCTAACAAAAGAAATATTATCGAAAATTTGCCTTCCTGGCACACAATAGGTCTGATCAGTATGAATGACCTCTTCCAAAACCCCACTCAATCTATTTGCCAATGCCTTGGACAGAATTTTATAATCACTACATAGCAATGACACAGGCCTCCAGTTTTTTATTTCACTCAGGTCTCCCTTCTTGGGCAGTAAAGTCAACACTGCTCTACGGCAGCTCAGTGGTAATCTTCCACTGTTTAGACTTTTGTTGATGACTGCAAGCAGATCGGCACCAATCTCAGGCCAAAAAGACTTGTAAAAGTCTACAGATAGGCCATCTATACCTGGTGCTCTGCCGCCTTCCATGCCTTGAAGAGCTTTCCTCAGCTCTTCTAACGTTATCTCTCTACAGAGACCGCTGTTCGCCTCTTCAGTCACCTGAGGAAGATCCTCAATAAACACATTAGTGTTTGACCCGTGTATAAGTTCACTGCTATATAGTTCTTTATAAAATTCTACCGCTCTCTTCCGAATTTCTGTATGATTTGACAAGAGTGCCCCATCTTTAGAACGCAAAGCATGTATACATCTTTTTTGGCCATTTTTCCTTTCCAGATTGAAAAAAAATTTGGAAGATACATCCATCCACTCTATATCCTTATACCGGGATCTGATCATAGCCCCTTGTGCTTTCAGGTCTAGAATTCCTGCCAATTCTTTGCTTTTTCGATTTAAAATTTCAATAAGCTCTTGATTTTGTTCAGTTCCAATAGATTCTTGTAGTTTCTTTATATCTTTTTCTAGATTTACCATTGAAGTATTTATTTCCTTAGTGATGTTGTAAGCATACTGTTGACTCAATTGCTTGATCTGCGTTTTTCCAAAATCCCACCACTGCTGCAAAGATTGGAAATCAGATTTAGTGGTTCTATATTCATTCCAAAAAAACTTAAAAATATCTCTAAATTCCATGTCATTTAAAAGACTGTTATTAAAGTGCCACATTGCACTCTTTGGTTTTACGGATCCTAAAGTTAAAAAACACTGTACTAAACTATGATCCGAAAAACTAACTGGAATAATAGAACAATCTCTAAAAAGATTAAGTTGATGTCCAAAACCATAAAATCTGTCCAATCTTGCTAAAGACAACCTATTATTGTAAGAATGAACCCATGTATATTGTCTGTGCGTCTTATGAAAATTCCGCCAAATGTCAACCAGATCATGTGTTTCTATTAACTGAATTAGCCTTTTTCGAGAAGCCATATGAGGCTCAACATGATTTCTATCTGAGGCAAATTCAGTGCAATTAAAATCACCTCCAAATAAGAACAAATCCTCAGTATTACAATCACTTAATGCTTTACATGATATATTCAAAAAGCCCATTCTTTCAACTGCATTGGTGGGAGCATAAATACAACAGAAGCAATAAAAAGCATTGTCAAATTGAGCCCTTATTTTTAAAAATCTGCCTTTTACAACTTCTTCTACTTCATAAGAAATTGGAATGGAGTTTTTAGAAAATAAAATAGCAACACCGCCACTTAGAGATGAATTATGACTAAAAAAGGTTAACCCATCAAATTCTCTTGCCCAATCTTCTTCATTGGAAACATCACTATGAGTTTCTTGTGCAAACAGAATATCTATTTTCTTTATCTTCATTAACTCATATAATTCAAACCTTTTCTTCCCTTCTCGTGCCCCATTTAAATTAAGGGAAGCAAAATGAAACTCCTTCATTAAAGAAAAGAAAAGGATAATCAAGACACAAAAAAGCCTCATCTCATAAGCGTAATTTTAAAACTATTCAGCATTGATTCCTAATTGAAATTGTACTTTTGTGAGAATTTTTTTCAGTCTGTAAACTTCTTGATCAGAGAAAAGACCTTCACTCCTAAAACTCTTTGTTTTTTCTACAAATTGCATCAAATCAGGAAAGTATTCTGAAATACGCACATTTCTTGCATTCTTTGTTGCTCTCAAAAAGAGCTTAACATCATCCACACTGTAAGATTGTTCTGTAGTTTCGTCTTTCGTCTGATCAAAAGTAACACTGCATTCTGAAAGGTCAGTGTCACTTTCAGTATCAGTTTGACTATTTCCCAGTTTTTTTGAATTACTGTAGTGGCTCTGTTCCATTCTCCTTTTTTGTGGTGTTTTGAAAACACAATCAGCTTGTTCCCCCCCAGAATAAAGATCCTCGCCTTCCACCTCCATGTCTTGGTTGATTACTGAACCCTGCATTTCTAAACCATCAGTTAACTGATGCCCCTCCTCAGGGACAGAGGCTTCTCCTACTGCCACTGCCTCTCGCTCACCCCCCTTTTCCTTCAAGGCTGCAGCATCACCTGATGAATCTGTTGAAGTTGCATCTACATGTTTTAGTACAGTGTTCTCATCAACTAACGTTACCACTGTTGTAGGCACTTCACTCCTGACAATTTGTACTGCACCTTCAACCTCACCAACCCTTTCAACTGAGGCTGCTGAAACTTTTTTCCTTGATTTCTCATCTTTTTTTGGACAAACCCTCACGAGATGTCCTATTTCCCCACAACTAAGGCATTTCATGCTATTGGTCGTAGCATAAACTACGTAGTTGAAGTCGTCGTGATTAAAATTGAACGTCAAATCCAATTCCTCCTTATTGTCCTTTAATACCATGTAAACAAAACGTCTGAAAGACACTACGTGTTTCAGCAACGTCGACTTACAACCAATCTGAATCATTTTGATTGGAGAAACTAATCTACCATGCCTCTCCAACAATTTCACCAACACTTCGTTTTTTATGAATGGTGGGACGTTTGATAGAGTAACTTTTTTGGACGGAGTAGACAGCGGTAACACTGGAACAAAAACATTGTCAATGACAACACCACTTTCAACCAACAAGTTTGCTAATTCAACGGTTTTCAAAAAAATAACAATTGCGTTGTTCATCCTCGATGCTGACAGAACATTTTCGCAGCCAACCACCTCTCCTATGGCCAAACTGCACTCTTCCACACTAGCGTTCAAACTTAACTTCACCGCATGACGCCGTGTGAGGAAATCTAGCGTCCTCGCACCTGAAGTCATCCTGCCAGTTATAAAAACTGGCAGACAGACAACACACCACTATCTTAACCCTCCCAAACCCGTATACCACAAAGTAGAAAGATAAAAGATAGAAAAATAGAAAACCTATTTTTGACACAGCGGCCAAAAAAAGAGAAATAGTCCACACACTCACCACGCTTCCCACTCGCTCGCTCAACAAACGCTCACGCATGCGCGCAAAGAGAGAGAGAGAGAGAGAGAGAGAGAGAGAGAGAGAGAGAGAGAGAGAGAGAGAGAGAGAGTCAAATCTCATCCCAAGGTTTATAACTGATCAAAAGTGTGTTAGATCATGTGTTTAATAATATGTGTTTAAAAAACGTTGACGGCTGCATTTATTTATTTAGCAGAGATTTTGTTTTAAAAGTAATAGTAATTTTATATAGTATTACTTTAGTCTAACACGTGATTTTTGAAAACCACACCCCCTCTGTCTTTGCCCCTCCCACACATTTGTAAAAGTGAAACTAAACTGCTATTTAAAGGGATGTCGCAGGGATATTATTGGAGATTTCAACATTTCTGAAGACAAGAACACCCAGGTTTTTGCTCCAGGTCATTTACATTGTTCAGGTAAGGGAATCAAACTGAAATTATGTATTTCTATGGGATACATAATTTAATTGATTTTATGCAACTTTATGATATTTTTTCAAAAAAAACCCTGATTTCAGAACGATTCTGGTGGGCCTATTTGTTAATTGGCTATTCTCTCTCTCTCTCTCTCTCTCTCTCTCTCTCTCTCTCTCTCTCTCTCTCTCCCTCTCTCATTATTATTATTATTATTATTTATAAAGAGACAATGTACAATTTTCCACATAAATGTTTTCATTTCATGTATTGTAGATTTAGACAAAGCTCTCTCCTCATCTCCATCAGTCTTCCGTTTTCTCTTTATATTGCCCTGCCCCTGTCTCTTCCGCCCGTATTGTTTCATTTTGTCTGTCAGAAAGAAAACAAGGTTTCCGGTGGAGAATATACGCTGGCGCTGATTTTTTTTTTTTTTAAATTAGCCTACATTTTTAATTATTTATTCTTAAATTAGTATAGGCTATATGTATTAGTTGGTTGGTGTGTTTTTTTATTACACTTCTTTTATTGATAGCTATTGTGGAGTCTTTCGGTGTGTGCCTCTAGACAATTCAGATCATAATTTATTCATACCACAATGCATGATGGGAGCCATTAATGAGTTGTGATTGGTGGCAACATGTCACCACGGTTGAGATAGACAGGCTGATTATTGATCTCTGTTTCTGAATAAACATGACAGTGATTTGATGAGAATATTTTTTATTAAATATTTTAGGGTATAAGTAAAATACAGATATGCAGCAGAGGTACAAAACTGTGAGTAGTATGAAGCTGCAGACTCGGAGACCTGCATCTACAGTCCCCCTGCACCCAGTCCCTCATTCTCAGACCCCTCGTTTTTCGAGACAGCGCATCCTATCAAATTGTATCGGATAAACATGTGAAGAACTTTAGCCAAAACGTGAGTAGGCTATCTTCAATTTTATTTAGCGAATCGTAGTAGCCTATTCGTTTGATTTATTTTTTTAATAAAACTAATTTAGCTCATCGATACAACATATGAATAGTCCATTTAATATTTGTAAAGATAGTTTGTTACAAGATTTGAGCCGTTAATGTATGTTTTTTCGCCCTCTTCCCCCCGAAAATATTTAGATAGCTAACGTTAGCCTTTAACCTTGGACTTTTTGTAGATGTCATAAATGCTGCAGTTATTTCCACTGCCCATTTTGTGTCCCCATATATTTCAAACCCACAAAGTTGTCCAAAGTTCAAAAACATCTCAAGGGACACTTCAACAGAGCAGTGCAACATAGCTAACATTTGCAAACATCTTTTTTCTTTTTTTTTTTGAAACATCGTAAGACATGTGCTATCGGTCCTATGTTGTAGGCTTTTCCAGGGTACACCATCAATCGATGGAGTTGCCCCTGCCGAATCCAGCAACATATAATTTTATGATTATGCAAAGCGACTTATAAATGAGTTTTTTTTAATGCAATTGAAGACGAAAAGTAAAGTCACGAACACAGTTTTTTCTTCCTTTTTTTCTCTACAGCAAGATGATGTGATCATTAAATAAAGTACAGAATTATTTATTATTGGTGTTTTGTCTATTCTGATTTGTTTTGCTTCGCATTCAAAATATCAAAAAAAACAAACAGATATTGTAATGTTAGCATGGTAATGTTAATTAGACCATTATAGGTTGAACTGAAAGAAAAATTGGAAAAAAAAAATATATAAAAAAAAACATTGTAGCAATATCAATCTGTAATTGTATCCCTTCCATCAGTAAAAAATAGTTTTTTTTGGCACATGCATTAAGCAGGGAACGCAAATATTTATTGGATAATTTATTTGGAGACCGTAATATTGCATCCTATTGTTTTTAATTGCATTTGGATAATCGTGCGCTGTACTCTGTGTGCGGGTGTTATTCGATCTTTTGAACAGCAGGAGGCGCTGTGTTCGAAAAACGAAAGGGTCTGAGAATGCGGGACTCTCGGTGGGGGACTGTAGATGCAGGCTCCGAGTCTGCAGCTTCATAATATTGAAAACTGTAGCTAACAAGTTAAAGCAAATCATCTGAATAAGTTCCATTTTCCAGATCATTGCATGATTATGTCAAAACATAACCAACACAGATCACAGTTGCCTTTGTTCATTTGACTGTTATAAGTCAATATCAACATGCAAACAAAATATAAAGTGAAAATATAAGTGTCAAGAGCCCAACTAAAGCAGACACTGATCTCCATAACGGTGGTTTACAATTTGTGATTTTCTCCTTCAGTGATTCTGCTTGTGATCATCAGGTGTCTTTAATAATGCTCAATCATCACTAAATTAATCACTTAATTATCTAAATAACAGTTTAATTTAACACTCATATCGTCCATTTGAAAGCAGGTGAAGGTGATTTACTGCTAATCAAGGAACCGGCTTTACTGATTAGATGCGCATACAATATCGTGCGATATATCACCCAGCCCTATTATGCTGTATCCAACAAAATAAATCACAAATACTAAATTCAAATGACGATTGTCACAATATAACCAAAACAATTAGTTTGTATATTTTTTCTTTGTTCATCTGACTGTTACAACTCGGATACAACAGCCGAACAAAATCTAAAGATAATGTAAGGCTCAAGAGCCCAACTAAAGCAAACACTAATCTCCATAATGGTAACCTGAAATTCTGGTTTTCTCCTTCAGTGATTCTGAAGTTGTGGTGACTTCAAGTGAAACCGAGTTAAACCTCCGTTAATTCTCAATGAAATCTTCTGTAGAAGTCTGACAGAAATAAATTCAATCTGGTTAGTAATAAGTGAAGCTGGTAATGCTGTCTGTGGAGTTGTTTAATCCTCCTCTGCTGAGATCTTCAGATTTAATGTCTTCTTTTCTCTTCAGGTGATTTCATCTAAGACTGTGTCGTCTCCTTTTCTGTTCTCTACAGAGGAGTAAAGTCCAGGTTCAGAAAGTAAAAGTCCGCCTCAGTATTTTGTTCCAATCACCTGGATTTGCTTATTAACAGTTTTTCAGCCAGGAGACAGAAATCAGCTGAAATCAACTGTCAACAGATCCTCCTTTCCCAGTGACTGGCCAGTGGCTGGTTTAGTAAATGCTGCTTCTCGTTGGATCTCACATAGGGCCTCTCTCGATAGGCTTCTGCAGTTGTCACAGGGCAGCCAATAGGCACGCGAGCTGTCTTGCCTATGTCTGCGTACTGCTGCAGCGCGTTTTACATTAATTCAAAATTAAGGATAATTTTTTGGCTTCAATATCTCGTGGAAAAGAGTTTTCTCCTAGCGTAAGATATTACACAGTACGAGAGAACCTCTCGAAAGAGAACTCTTGCCTTCTTTCGTGGCTTATTTTATTCTCTCTAAAATGTCAATAGAACAAAGATAAATAAATATCCATGTATGTGTTTGGTGTGTGTGGCACAGACAGCAAGGACTCTATTGGACTATGGGCAACCACTTGACTATGGGCAACCACAGCGGAAAAGGTATACCAGCTAATATATCTTTCTTTCTAACTAACTAACTAACTAACTAACTAGGGATGTCCCGATCCGATCCACGGCATCGGTATCGCGCCGATACCGGCCCAGAACGCTAGATCGGAGATCGGAGGGGAGAAAAAAATATGAGCGATATCCAGTTTAGCGGCGCAGCCTGTCACGTGATGATTGTTGTGTTTACGCACACGCACGCAGAGAATCACTCTCGCTCTGCGCACGGAACAAAAGCTGCATTTCAGTCTTTTCAGAAATTCATTGGCTATCAGAAAATAGCGTCATTTCATTCTCTATTGCAACTGGATAGATAAACTGTCACTCAAAGAGAGGTAGGTACCGATCTTCACCAGGCACGCTCGTTGGCTGTTGGAGTTTAGAAGACACCCCTAACACTCGCCGATTGGCTAAAATGACCTGTCAATCAATAGTTCATGGGTCAGCGGCCATTTTGACATTCTTTTTTCTCCAATGTTTACGTTTCAACTGTAGACGGATCAATAGTGCTACGTTCACACCGGACGCGAATCGCGCGTCAAATTCGCGCCTGACGCGTCTAGTTTGACGCTTGACCACTAGTGTTAATTCGCGTGTCAAGAGCGAAACTGGCGCGTGTAAAGTTTGAAGCGAAATCTACGCGCGTGACGCGCGTCAGAATCAAAATCCGTTGGCGGTCATTGTTTTTATGTCGACCGAGCATTCATCAAGAGAGTTACCGAGTTTACTCTGGATAGCAGAACAGCGGCGTGGGGATCATCGTCGCCGTATATTTGTGTCCACCGGACCCTTCGGAGCCGAACCGTTTGGCGAGTTTCACCATTCGCTCGCTCCAGGAGCTGCGCTGGATGACGGCCGCTGTCAGCGGTACTTCCGCCTGTCACGCGCCCAGTTTGATGACCTGTTGTCCCGCATCTGAGCGAGGATCACCCTCGCCCGGCCCCTCATCCATCTAATCTAGCTGTCATTTATTTTTGTTTTGATAATAAATAGAGCCAGCCTTCAAAAGTTATTAACCTGTCCTGTGATTTTTTTTTTCTCTCTCTCACGTCCAGACACGAATTTATGCACATATGTTGATTGTCTTTACAACATAATACTATTTCTAGATATGGAATGAATAACATTCAATACAAAATGAACATGTCTCCATATAGAAATAATGTTTTAAGTGATGAAACATTTGCTTTGTTGTGCATAATCCCACCATGCATTTAGTCATATTAACAAAATAATTTATTGAAGCATCCAGACACTTCACCACGTGAGCAAGCAGCTAGGCTCCTGATTGGTTAACGCGGCGCGAATTCATGCCAAAGTTCAGATTTTTCAACTCGGGCGGCAGACGCGAATTCGCGTCAAACGCGTGAATGCACAACGCTCAATTCGCGCCATTCGCGCCAACTTGACGCGCGAATGAGGCGTATTCGCGTCTTCCGCGCCGCGCTCCACGCCTCATTCGCGCCGCAGGAATTTTTCACGCGCGTAAAGTGTCTTTGCATTGACTTAACATTGAAATCATTCGCGCCTGACGCCCTATTCGCGTCCGGTGTGAACGTAGCATTAGTGCGTCGAAGTTGTGATAGCGCTGTCGGCTAACGCGAAATGCTACTATTTACATTCCATGGATGTTTATTCATATATACAATTGTTTTGGACTAAAAACTTCTTCAAATTGGATTGTATGGACGCTTTACAGTGAAACCAAACCATTTTTGTTGGAATGTGGACTAACAGATGGCTAATTGGTGAGTTTCTTCCAGTTTGTGTTGGTTTGTTTTGGCTGTTGGTGGTCTGACAAAGAGACAGATTGTGCCCGCTGTGTTGATTGTATCTTAAAATGGTTTACGTCGTTCGAATCACGAGTTTCTCAGCTTTCCAAAGATATGTATTATGTTTACTTTTGTGTTTGTTTTGTTTTGTCTTTCACAAAGTTAAACCTATAAACCACCCTGTGGGCCGTATACGGCACGTCGGACCACGAAAAAAAAAATATCGGACTAATATCGGTATCGGCAAAAGCCAAAGGTGCGGCATCGGTATCGGTATCGGAAGTGAAAAAGTGGTATCGGGACATCCCTATAACTAACTAACTAACTAACTTGTCCTCGATTTTAACGCGATTTGGTTCACCTTGTCAGTGAACTAGGGCTCTTTGTAGTAAATGCCGCTCCATCTGAAAGCAGGTGAAGGTGATTTACTACTAATCAAGGAACCGGCTTTACTAATTAGATGCGCATAACAACATTGTGCGATTAATCGTGCAGCCCTACTCTAGACCTATTTTTCCGAACTCCTCACAACCGTACATTCTTCCGTTGAGAGCTTGAATAATTAAGACACTCCAGCCCAGTTGGTGGCGATAATGCACCTTTGCCGATTGCAAGCAAACCACTTGTATAGTGTAGCCTACGATGTGGCTACTGCATAAGAATACAATGAATACAAACAACCCCATTTCCGTTTCTGGCGGCGGAGTAATACCGTACATCACTGAACACAGAACGATTGTCTGGAGAATCTCGCTGGTCGTAAAAGGGTCAGAACACAATCTCATCCCAGACATTTTTGGTGCTGAGCTAGTGATAGATACTCCAAGACCCAAAATGGATGGGTCAATTAAGAAAGAAATCCAGCAGGGCTGGACTGGGACAAAAAGTCAGCCCTGGACACTTCATCCAGACCGGCCCACTGAAAACACACGCACGCACACACGCACGCACACACACGTCTATACATGCATTAATCTGCATGTAAATTACTGATTAGAATTTATTTACTATCAAAACCCAGACAAAACTATTAAAATAATAAGCAAAGAAAATGATTTTATCAGGCTTTATTGTAAATAATTAAAGGCTTTAATTTATGTGCCACTTATTATTCTAATAGAAATATTAATGCTAATACTATATTAACTATATAAACTATATTTCATGAGGTTCAACATCACTGCCAGGACCTACAAAAGAAGCCTAGAAAACAGTTCACTTTTCTCTGCAACTTTGTCAATGATCACATCAGAGTCAAGAGAGAAAAGGATGTCCCTCTCTGTTGCCATCAACATAAAAGCTTCCAAGTGCTCCTGTGACAGCTTGCTTCTGAGTCTGGTTTTAATGAACTTAAGAGTTGAAAATGTGCGTTCACAGGCAACCTGAGTGATTGACAGGGTGAGCAGGAACTTGTATGCCAGACCTAGGAGGTGGTAGGCATTTGACATCAGATTGAACCTCCCGAGAATCTTGTAGCAACAGAGTGGACATTCATTACATGAGGAACACTCCTTGCATCGGATTTCAACCCCCTCATCTTCGGCCTTGTCTTCCAATGTTTTGACTTTGTACTCATCGAGTGGATACATTTTCAATTTTTCCCACTGCAGAACAAAACTTCTAAATTCAGATTGTAAGTTCTCAGCAGTTGCTTCACTGTCAAACCTCAACAGACATTTGCTGAGCTCTTGGAACATTGATGGTGGTAAAGAGGATGTCTTTAACTGAGTGAAGTTCCTGGGATCTAGAAATGCAAGGTCAGCATAGAGTGTCCCATGACCCAGAAACCTCCTGTGTAATGTCTCAGTAGCTGTGTCCATGATCTGATTATGGACTGTGACTTCATACACCTTTTCTGGATTTGTGACAGTTTCAGCATGAGGAATCTCTCCAGGCCTGGTTGTCTTCTTCCTCCTCCTTTTTGATGGCAATGCAGACTCAACTTCCAGCTCTATCTCTTTGTCTTGCTCCTGCAATTTTTCATTTGCCCACAGAACAAATTTCCCTGCAGCTGCTTTGACTGAGGAAAAGTCTCTTGACATGCTTTTCAGGCTTTCATGTGTTGCCATTACCATTCTGTGGGCAGACAAAATATCCATCCCTTGTGTTTGGAGGTATTTGGACAGTGGTGATGTATGCTCAAATATCCTGAGGAAGGTTTGTGCTGTCAGTATCATCTCATACTTAAGCAGAGCCTCAACAAATCTTAGTGCTTGAACGCGAGCAGTTGTTTTCATGGTCATATCCTCTTGTATTGCAGTCAATGCAAGGATGACATCCACATAGAGACAATTATCTGGATTTGCAAATGATCCAAACATTTTCCTGAGAGCATTATCTTTGGCCCCCCATCTTGTCTCGCCAATTGGTGAGAGTCGCCTCTGGTGCTTGCCCTGGGTCTCACTTTCCCACACATTCATCCTTTTGTATGACTCGCGAAAGAACACAGCGATATCATTAAGAACAGCAAACAGTGAACCACTTTCTATTACTGTTTGGGTTGTGTCAGCCAGAACGAGGTTTAGTACATGTGCATAACACCAAACATGCACTTGATTTGGTGCCACTTTGGACATCTGAGTGGAAAAGCCTTTGTATTGGCCTTGCATATTAGACGCACCATCTGTAGCATGTCCGATGCACTTGCTCAGATCCAAATTGAGCTTTTCAGCAAGCTCTGAAACAAGACTGACAAAATATTGTCCAGTCGATTCCTTGCACTTGACAATGCTGATAATCCTTTCGTGAATTTTGTCTGTAACATATCGTACAACAACAGAACACTGGTCTTGTGAGGTGATGTCCTGTGTGGTGTCAATCTGAAGTGAGAACATTTCGGCATTTTTTATGTCTCTCACGATGGTCTCCTGGATAAGGTGCTGAATGGTGTTAATGACAGAATTAATGGTTCTTGCAGACAGTAACGAAACCAGGGAACCTCTGCCTTTTGCCCCAGTTTGATGAATCTTCTTGGATTTTTCAATACATTCCTTTAAATGCTCTTTTAGACAGATGTCATACTTGCTTAACAGGACTATAACCTCCAAGAAGTTACCATGATCAATATTGAAGTCATCAAGCATGTATGCAGCCTCATTCTCTGACCTATAGCTAAGGCCTCTTTTGCCAATCATCTTTACAACATCAACTACACGCTCCAGTACTTGCCGTTTCTTTCGGATTTGTCTCCTGTGTGAGGACAACTGACTTCCACTAAGTAAGTCTTTCACATCTGATTTAGAGGCATTTAAAAAATATGCTTCTGCACAAGTTTTGTGAGCCATGCTCTTTTCATGTTCCTCTAAGCGCTGATGCACATGTTTCCAGTCTGTCATACCACTAATGAAGGGAGATTTGTCAGTTGACTTGGCAAATGCTAAGCAGACAGAGCAATGTAATGCATGACGTTCTTGGCGGTAAGTAAGCCACCTTCTATTAGTGCCATCCTTGCAACAGAACACTTTTTGCACTACTGGATTACTTGATGTTTGTTGAGGATGATACTCAAAAAAGGACTTTAAGCTTTCATGGTGGGGACGAATGTAGTAATCAATTTGTTCCTTAGTTTTTTCACTTTCCTCTACTGTGTGAGTTCTTACTTCTCCGCTCTCTCCTATTCTTCCATGGACTCTGTCCTCTATTCCATCATGTGTTCTTTCTTTTCCTCTGTCTTTTTTCCTCTCTTCTCTCTCCTGTCTACTCTCATCTCCTCTGTCTTCTTCACATTCCTCTCCTGCCTCATGCCCTCTCTCCTCTCCTCTCGCCTCTAATGCAGACACACTGGCCCTAGCCTGAATAAACACAGATTTGATGTCACAAATGCACAAAAAAACGACACAATATGTTCTAAAGACTGCAAAATAAATTTGATGGTGTTTCATGTTCTTACCCAGGTCTAAAAGGCTCAAATTTAAGTTTATAATGGCAAATAATGTAAGTATTGTATTGTTTCTTTAAAAAAAAACATGCACCACTTTTCAGAATAATAACAAATGGAAAATTTCAGGACCTGTTGTTTTAGGACCACAGTTGTGGAGTTGGCTGGGGATCTTGGAGAGGTTATAGCTCACTCTATTATTTATGTATATTATTGTTTATATGTGTATAGCCTATATATATATATTAACACAAATTACCTTGCACCTGTTGGCTGCTGATAGTAGTATAGTAAGACCACTGTTCTACAGTAAACGTGATTTATAAAGACCACTGATCTACAATAAAATAAAAGAGTAATTAAGACAACTTGTACTTGCCATGCCTAAAATAAATAAACCAAACAAAAATTAGCTATTGTTTTCTTTTTAAATAAGCTGCAATCTCATTTTACAATTCCAATTTCAATCCCACAATAGACACTACTAGACTAACTATTAAATTCAATCATACTGGTTTCAGGTACAGATATTGCATAATCAAATGTAAAATACTTTACTTAACATGTCGTATCATATCATATATATATATATATATACACACACACACACACACACACACATCTGCGCTTAATCCTTTAATCCTTGTTAAAGCTGTTAGTCAAGAGCAGAGAGTTATTTCTCCGACTTTTGTTCACATTAATGAGAAAGACGGTATAGGTATAAAAGGCTTGCCTGGCACGTTCAGGGATTTTTTTCTCAATTGATTACAAATGGAAAAAATATGCATTATTTATATATATGTATATATATATATATATATATATATATATATATATATATCCAGTCAACTGTGGTCATATATATTCCAGTCAACTATGGTCATTTAATGGCTTCCCTGAGGTATAACGTTCTGTGACATAATTGTTGTTCTCCTGCTGTTTTACTGATCTCTTTCCGTGGTTGAAAAGCACTGATTGATCGATATTATTTATGAGGCATACCGTTCGGTAAGTTGAAGTGTAACTTCAGTTTACTTAAACTGAGGCGTTAAAGCGATCTGTCACGTCATATTTTCTAGCGCCAAAACGGTATTTCGTAATAAAATGGACAGAACCTGAGAGCTGAGAATTTTAAATGTAATTTATATAGATCAGTGAGTGGACATATACAGCTGGAATATCGTAACATGATTTAAACAAAACAATGCAGAATGCTACGTGAAGCCTATCATTAAATGTCTCACCTCAGCAGTCTGGCCCGCCCTGCTGACATCTTCACTGAAGTCTTTTACTGGCCTTCCAGCAAATAATTCGTTTATTTTTGCACATTTGGTGGCATCTGCCTCAAGTGCTTGTCTTTTTCTATCTCTCAACTTCTCGGCCCCTCCTTTACGTTTAGAGATGTTGTGTTTTATCATATTGATATTGCATTTCTTTGCACATTATCACATCGCTGCAGACTGCAGTTGTGAAGCGGCCGCTTTTCAAGTCTTGAACTTGATTCCGATTGGCCAATGTTCAGTGAACACGTCACGTGTCGTGTGCTTATTACACAGACCTGTCAGTCTTGCAGCTCGCATCAGCTTCATGCGGCTTCATGAGAGAGAGACACATAAGCTCGGAATTGGACTATACAACAATATAGGAATATATTTACGATTAGATTTAAAAAAAAAAAAAAAAAAAAAAAAAAAATTAAGCACCGGCCCAACCAGACCGCGGCCCACCGGGAATCTCCCGGTAGTCCCGATGGCCAGTACATGCCTGAAATCCAGCGTGTGTATTGTTGTTCTGTCTCCAGAAACTGGGATGGGAAACACTGCAATAAAAAGTAAAGATGATGCTAATTCTGATCTGAAAATATTTTTATATTAAATGTATATAATTTACATAAAATCATAAAATTGTATATTTATATTATTTTCAGATTCTGTGTCCGACACAACAACTCCTCAACAAATTGGTGGAGACGGAGGTAATCCATTCTCATTTACTGGTGAGGACAGCGGTGCCAGTTTAGAGAAGATCAGAGTCTGGGTGGGAGAATCACAGGTGGATGGTGTCAGGGTCTGGCTTACAGATGGGAGAGTCGAAACCTTTGGAGACAGTTCTGGACCGTATCAAGAGTTCGAGTTCACACCTGGTGAGCGTTTCACCTCACTGTCCCTGTGGGCGAACGGAGCAGGAACACGTCTTGGAGCCATCAAATTCAGGACCAGTCTGGGGAAAGAGTTTTTTGCAAAGATGACAAGAAAGCGTTTAAAAACAGAATATCCCATGGATGTCGGCTCTGGATTTTGTTTGGGAGTTGTAGGAAGATCTGATCAGGAATTTTACAAGATGGGATTTAAGTTTCTCGAAGCAGTTGAATCAGCAGTTCTCACTGATGTCAACTATCCCACTCTCCACCAACTGATGCAGCCTAACCACCTAACCCTAACACAGGTGAAAAAAGAAGAAATCAAATCCCTCAGTTTTAGTAACGACTCCTCCACCACTCAAAAACAAAAAGTTGAAACCTCAAAGAAAGTGACCAAAACATCTTCATGGTCAATGAGTAGGAGTGTTACTGCGACGCTTAGTATGGAAGTGAAGGCTGGGGTTCCATTGATTGGTGAAGTTACTGGAGGATTCAGTGCCACCATTGGATCAGAAAGCACTTATGGTCTGGAGCACACAGAAGAGACAACCGAAACTCTGTCTACAGAAGTAGATGTGCCACCAGGGAAGAAGCTGGACGTTTCTGTCACTATTGGCAGAGCCACTTTTGACCTGCCTTACACTGGCACAGTGAAGATGACCTGCAAGAACGGCAGTGTGTTTGCCTATGGAATCGAGGGCACATACAAAGGAGTCACTTACACTGATATCAAAGTGGAGACCAAGGAATCTCCTATAAGGGTCGTTCAACGGAAATGTCCAATTTTCTGTCCCTAGTAGTCCCCGTGAAATCAAAATTGAACCTATTTACTTTGTTAGCGCATATTACTAGTCTTGTGGTGAACAATTAATCCGTGCAAGTAAAAATATATTAAAAAAATGTTTTACCTTGGTAATCTTTAATCAAAATCTGAAAAGTTACTTCCGGTCTGGAACGGTTTCTTTTTCTGATGACGTAGGTTTCACAGCTTGGGTGGGGAAACGCTTAACCACTCCCCTCAAACCGTTAGTTTGCTATGAGCGAGAGATGGAGAGGAGGAGTGCTACCCAGATAGCAAACTGATATTGAATCAACGTGGAAACGACGTCTCTCATGACATTGAAACAACGTTGATTTTGCTCATCGAATTAACGTTGAACCAACGTCAGACGCGGCATTCTTCAAAGCTAAATGAAAATCGAAAATTGGTTTGCTTTCATAACGTTGAAACAACGCGTTGATTTCAAGTTGATTTTCCGTTAGTTTTGAAAGAATGACGCGTCTGACGTTGGTTCAACGTTAATTCGATGAGCAAAACAATGTCAGATCAACGTTGTTTCGATGTCATATCTCCACGTTGATTCAATGTCAGTTTGCTATCTGGGTAGAGTAAAACTCTGCCCTCTGTTCAATATTCCGTTTCACTTGGAAATACGTCACAGCACTGGAGAAAAATCGTTTGCAACTCTCGGTTCACGGGGACTTTTAAAGGTGTTTTTGATCCCACAGTGCGATGACCTCGCGGGGACATCGGGTGGACCACATGTTTCAACTGGGTTGGCTAGACCCCAAAGTTCTGAGACAATTTCAAAAACGTGCGATTCACATGTCCCCATGATAATGCAGAATGTAAACATAAAACGGCTAAATCCAGGGATTGCCAAAAACAGGAAGTGGGAGGTGTTTCAGACTGTCAATCATTTGCGAACAGTATGGGACCCTAGGAGTAGTATGAAGCTGCAGACTCGGAGACCTGCATCTACAGTCCCCCTGCACCCAGAGTCTCGCATTCTCAGACCCCTCGTTTTTCGAGACAGCGCCTCCTATCAAATTGTATCGGATAAACATGTGAAGAACTTAAGCCAAAACGTGAGTAGGCTATCTTCAATTTTATTTAGCGAATCGTAGCCTACTCGTTTGATTTATTTTTTAATAAAACTAATTGAGCTCATCGACAACATAGCCTATGAATAGTCCATTGAATATTTGTAAAGTTAGTTTTTAACAAGATTTGAGCCGTTAATTGATGTTTTTTCACCCTCTTCCCCCAAAAAATATTTAGATAGCTTACGTTTATAATTTAGCAACATAAACATAAGCATCATAAGACATGTGCTATCGGTCCTATGTTGTAGGCTATTCCAGGGTACACCATACATCGATGGAGTTGCCCCTGCCGAACCCAGCAACGTCATTTTATGATTATGCAAAGTGACTTATAAATTATTTTTTTAATGCAATTGAAGACGAAAAGTAAAGTCACGAACACAGTTTTTTCTTCTTCTTTTCTTTACAGCAAGATGATGTTTAGGTGATCATTAAATAAAGTAGGAATTGTTTATTAATTGGTGTTTTGTCTATTCTGATTTGTTTTGCTTCGCATTCAAAATATTAAAAAACAGATTTTGTAATGTTAGCATGGTAATGTTAATTAGACCATTATAGGTTGAACTGAAAGTAAATTTGGAATTTGAATAAAAAATATTAAAAAAAAAACACTGTAGCAATATAATATCACATACTATTTTTCTAAAGATTCTTAGAAAAGTTTAGATTGTCTAAAGTTCAATCTGTAATTGTATCCCATTCCATCAGTAACAATTCGTTTTTTTGCACATGCATTAAGCAGGGAACGCAAATATTTATTGGATAATTTATTTGGAGACCGTAATATTGCATCCTATTGTTTTTAATTGCATTTGGATATTGTGCTCTGTACTGTGTGTGCGGGTGTTATTCGATCTTTTGAACAGCAGGAGGCGCTGTGTTCGAAAAACGAAAGGGTCTGAGAATGCGGGACCCTCGGTGGGGGACTGTAGATGCAGGCTCCGAGTCTGCAGCTTCATAATATTGGAGACCCTAGGGCTGAACCAAGGGGACTTTTAGGTGGTCATTTAAATATTAAAAGTTTACTGTCTAAAAGTGAGCAGATACAGCATCTTTTATTGGGTTCAAACCTGGATTTTTTATGCTTGTCTGAAACCTGGCTTAATCAAAATGCCCCATTAGCAGCTCTGAATATTCCAGGTTATAATATATACAGGACAGACAGACAGGTATCAAAAAAGGGAGGAGGAGTGATGGTTTATATAAGAAGCACATTACAGTGTCACAAAATTCAGTGGTCAAATTGTAATCTGGAATGTTTAGGGCTCAATGTCAGGCTTTCCCCACAAATGTCCTTGTTGTAATATACAGGCCTCCCTCTGCAGATAACAGTTTTTATGAAAACTTTGAGCAGCTGTTAAAAGAAAACAACCATGACAAAGAAATTATTATAATGGGGGATTTTAACATTAACTGGCAGGATAAACCCTTTAGAAAAAAGCTTAAACAAATCACTGACAGGTTTGATTTAACACAAGTTGTCCGTGGGCCAACGAGAATAACTAACTCTACTAAGACTCAAATTGATCTCATATTTTCAAATAGACCAGAAAGAATTGTAAAATCGTTCAATATGTTGACAGCAGTGTTGGGTGTAACTAATTACTAAGTAATTAGTTACTGTAATTTAAATACTTTTCCCTTGAAAATGTAAAGTAAGGGATTACTCTTCATTTATCTGTAATTTAATTACAGTTACTTCTGATGTAATTGAGGTAAATACTGTGTGTATAGATCAATCCGATCTCACAGCGATTCGTATGCATTTTATGAGGCGTCTAAATTGTACGACCTGTACAAATTCGTATGAATATTGTAAAATATTTATGAAAAAAAGTGTGAAATGTCATGAGATCAGACAGAAAACAATAGTGGGTTTAACATCAAAATGTATTGTCTGATGTTAAAAAGTATGTTTTTATAATGTAACCTTCTCCACCTTTGAAGTTTAAGAATAATTGTAATTTTATAGTATTTATTTGAAAGAATTAAAACAGATTCATGTCTATCCTTGTATTATTCAGCTGGTTGAGATTGATACGGGATTTTGAAAGTAATTAGTAATTAAAAGTAATTAAATACTTTTTGGAGAGAGTAATTAGTACAGTAATCTAATTACACTGTCGAAGAGGTAATTAGTAACTAGTAATTAATTACTTTTTTAGAGTAACTTACCCAACACTGGTTGACAGGTTTATCGGATCAACTTTTTATCGGAAAACTTACTAAAAAACGCTTTCATTCTTGTACGAGTAATAAAAAAAGGCACCACTACAATTCCAAAAAGTAAATATCAAAATTTTTTAGATGCAGCTAACCAAATTCAATGGGATGACATTTTACCCTTAGTTGACTCTGACAAAGATAGCCAAACATTTTTAATTACACTCGAGAGAACTATTAAAGAATTCACTCAAGAAATCAAGTACAAACATAACAAAAACATTGTACCTTGGATAAATAAAGACATTATAAAAATCATGAAAGAGCGAGACTTAGCCCTAAAATTTGCAAATAAAACTAAATCAACGCATGACAGAGGACATTTCACCATGTTGAGAAATAAAGTTGTCAGGTCATTAAGAAAAGCAAAGGCTGATTTCTTTATTACTATAATTGAAAAGTCTAATGGAAATCCTAGTAATATGGAGCCAGATAAGGAAAATGACAGGTGATCAACCCAATGAACAAAAAACTGTAGAAATTAAAGTAAATGACCAGCTGATAAACAATACTCTCGAGGTAGCAGAGGCTTTTAATCACCATTTTATTGATTCTGTGGCTAACATAGCAAGCTGTTTTACACCTGAGAACGTATTAACTCCGCCAATAGACACAAGTCAATCAGTTTTTAATACATTTAATATAACAGAACAAGAAGTATCACAGACCATTAAATCGCTCAGACCATCAAGATGCAAAGATATTTTTGATATGGATACGGTGATGCTCAAGGCTTTAAGTGCGTCAGTTACACCCCCCATCACCAAAATTATTAATCTGTCCATTTCTCAAAATCTGTTCCCAAGCATGTGGAAACCAGCTGTTGTTATTCCAGTTTTTAAAAGTGGAGATCCTCATCCCATGTCAAACTACAGGCCCATAAGTATATTGCCCACAGTGTCTAAGATTGCCGAGAAACTGATTGCAAAACAAATTATTAACCATCTAAACACCACTCCCTATGCTCTCCACCCTATGCAGTTTGGCTTTAGAGCAAAATACTCCACTGAGACTGCGACTTGTTTTTTTACTGAAAATATAAGAGCTCTGTTAGATCAAGGTGGGTTTGTTGGAGCAGTGTTTCTGGATCTCAAGAAGGCTTTTGATACCGTTAACTAAAAAATATTACTGACAAAACTATGCAATTTTAATTTTTCCTCAGATGCACTCAAATGGGTTGAGTCTTATCTCACTGACCGTTCCCAATGTGTCAGAGTTCAATCATCTAAATCGACGGCCTTGAGTCTGTCCACCGGTCTACCTCAGGGATCTAATTTAGGGCCCCTGTTATTCTCCATTTATATAAATGACCTCCCACTCGCTTGTCCTGATGTTTTTGTGCAGATGTATGCTGATGACACCGTAGTTTATGCACACGGTAGGAATATCGCTCAGGTGGTAGAGAAGCTCACTAACGCCATGGATAGCATCACAGCTTGGTTGAAGCTGAATACATCAAAAACAGTAGCAATGTTTTTTTACTAAGTCCCACAAAAACTTCAGTGTTGAGCCAGACATTTTTGTTTCAGGGGAAAAATTGCAGATTGTGTCAGAATACAAATATCTGGGAGTTTTAATTGATTCAAAGTTATCATTCTCATCACATGTAAAAATGGTCTGTAATAGAATTAAATATAGTCTCAGTAACTTTAGACACATTCGCCATCAAATGTCCACACAGGCAGCAAAAATTTACATGCATTCTATGATTTTCTCACACATCACTTACTGTTTACCCGTTTGGGCACAAGCTAGTAGTACATCTTTGAAATCTCTGTAATCACTTTACAAACGAACTGTTAAAACTCTGGATAAGAAACCATGTATTTCTCATCATTGTCCAATATTACAAAAATATAGATTGCTCAGTTGGGATAATTTGGTTAAATACTCAAATCTATGTCTTATTTATAAAATTATTCATGGTTTATCTTCCCCTCCCCTCCAACAGTTTGTCAATACTCGAACAGCTGATTCCTGCAGGACCAGAGGTGCAGCTAGGGGAGATTGTATCATTCCCTTTAGGAAAAGTGTATTTAGTCATTGTAATTCCCTCGCAGCACTGGCAGACACAAGTGGTTTTCATGCTACAGGTTTATTTGAAGCTTATTCTCCAAGTTCACCGTGAAAACTAAACACAGTGTAACGAAAAAATAAAAACCACATTAGCTTGGAATGAACATGCAATGACATGCGTAGCATGTAAAATAACGTTCACCAAAGTAAAATACAGACACAAAACATACCTCGTTGGCTGGGAAGGGAATAAAGAGTTTTCTTAGATAGCTGACATCCACTTATAACAACTTTAACACTTTTATCAGAGCATTAAATTGTCCGTGCTTCACTTGCTGTTAGCTTGCGACTCTCACTCACGAGTGTCCCAAAAGGCCTTGCGAAACAGCGCGGAGACTTCAAAATAAAAGCACTTGCAAAACAGCGCGGAGACTTCAAAATAAAGGCACTTTACTCTTAGCAAATAAAATCACTAAATGATACTAAATGCAATTTATAATTCTAAATTATAACATTGGTTGAAAATAAAGTGTACATTATTATAATGTTGCGACAATTACAGTCATACTGCTTTTTCTGTTCAAGCTGCTGCTGAGTGGAACCTCACCCCCATAACTATCAGAAATATAAACACGTATAGTTCATTTAAAATTCAGTTAAGAAAATGGCTTATTGATCATCAGATCTGCCAACATTAGCCTATTTCTACACATGCTCTCGTTGCACACTTTTTTCCTTATGTGTTGTCATGTTTTTTACGTGATGTTTGTCCGATTGTTGTTTTGATGTGTTTACGCTAACATAATAGATATTTCACTAAATGTATTTTAATTTGTTTTTTAGTGCTATGAACTATGTAATTTCTTTTCTTTTTTTAGGGTCACTCTTACCAACTGTCTAGGGACTGCGGATGAAAAATAGCCTTTAGGCTAATTCTGGCATATTGACAGATATGTTTATGAATATGCACTGTCCCGGTACTAAATAAATAAATAAATAAATAAAAATAAATAAATAAAATAAATTGGAATGCTGTTGGACGAGAAAAGAAATTAATTTCTCATTAATGTAATGTTGCTGTACTGGCCAAATGTATGAAGACGAAACCTTATTTTTCTGTATTTAAAAGAGACTTGATTTGTAATTTCTTTCCAGCGTTGGAATGGTAATCTTTGCTTGGCTGTACCTTTAGCCCTTCGTTCAATAATATTTCTTTGCCATCATGCACAGGTAGGAGAAGTTTCTACGCAGACACACAAGATTTTCCAGCCGTTATTGCAGTTGAGATTTGTGGTTTATTGAAGTAAAAGTACATCAAAGATGAACATACCAGTTGTTTTCTTGTCTTGTTTCCAGTTGTGAGTTGTGTCTTCTAATCATGGTCTGGTGAGAATGTTTGTGCTCCCCCTACCTGTGCCTTTCATTTCCTGTCACCTATTCCCATTTAAATACAACCATGTGCATCTAGTCACTGCCACCTAGTGTCCAAATACTAATATAAATATATCCAAACAAAATAAACTATCATGCAAACAATAAACATAAATGTCTCCTACAGAATGTATGAAACGTAAAAAAAGGGCCCAGAAATTGTCTGGAATAATAAGAGACATTGAGCTCTTAAAAGAGGAATAAAGAGACCCCTTTCTATTTGTATTTTTTTTTTATAGTAATATATTTATTTTAATTTAATTTAACTTTTATTGTTTTTAATTGTTTTACCTTAACTGATATGTGCCTTCTTTAATAGGTACTCATTTTACCTGTATTCTGTTTTTGTTCTGTTCTTGGTGTTCAATAAAAATAAATTAATAAATAAATAAATAAGTTCTGGATAAAAAGTCTGAATAAATTCAATGCATTCTGGTTTATGACTGCTGTAAACTTTACCTCCATCAAGATGGCAGTGTTTTCCCTGTCACAATAGGCTATTGATAGCCTGACTTCGTCATACTCATATTCAAGAAAGAATGCTGCGTCCCAATTCGCATACTATCCGTCCTAAATAGTATTCGAAAATAGAATTAGTACGTCCCAAATCGTAGTATGTTGAAATCCCAGTGACTATTGCTGGAGGGGAACGTGCTTTCAGTAAACTTAAAGGTGTCATGAACTGGCTTTTTAATTTTATTATATTGTTGTCTGACGTCAACTTTTGACGTTCACTTGGTTTTTGTTTCAAAAACATCAAAATGAATAAGTAATAGGCTAATTTGTACCCTAGTTTTGAGCCTAGCTGAAAAATGCTAGGTTTTTATGGGCGTCTCGCACTGAAGACTTGGAAGTAAACGCCCACTGCTGTGAGTGGATAACAGTTTTGCATATTATAATGAGTTTCAACTCACCTGTCGGTGCACTTGGGGGAAATTGTTTTGAAAACGTCCAGTGTTGTAAAATGGCAACTGGAATGATTCGCCCATACATGTTCGACCCAGAGTCCGTGTGTTGCACCGTTCCTGTCAGATCCAATATAGACGGCACAGCACCGTTCTTTACTCTTAATCGGTCTGCAAATCCAGTATTGTTTACAAAACAATCCTCAGTGAAATGAAGCGAACATACGGACGATGTTTTACCTCATCAGCTGGAACGTCATTAAAAATAAAGTTTATCCATGCAGTCCTATTGGAGTCCAGAGGAAGCTTATGCAGCGATTGTCTTCTTCCACAACCAGGCGCTGCACAATATTCTGTATTGCTCGGTAGCTCGATGATCCGGTTTGTCATCACGAGGGAGGCACCTGTGTTATTTAACTATGCATGTAATGCGCGAATCGGTGGGCGGGGCTAAACCGGCCGTGAAGGTCTGAAGGTTGATCTTCTTCTGCGGGGGTGGTGTTTTATCATCTTTGACGTCATAGTTCCCCACTTTGAAAAACGAGTCGTTTGCTGAGCCTGGTGTAAATAAAAGCTTTTATTGGACTAACAAGGACGTTTACAGTTCTGAAACTTACAGGATATTCTTATAATATGATGATCTCTTAGATGTCAAAAGCTCAAGGACTTTTGATTTCTCAGTTCATCAGCCCTTTAAACTTGTAAAGAACTATTTAAGATCAACAATGTCGCAGGATAGATTGAAACGGCCTTGCCATACTCTCTGTAGAAAGTAGTGTCTGGGTAGAGGGAAGTCTGGGCATCTCTGATTAGACTGCTACCCCCGCGACCCGGCCCCGGATAAGCAGAAGAAGATGAATGGATTTGTTAACATGTATTTATTGCCTCAATAAGCTTTTTGCTTCTGCCTTAATACATTGTTCACTAACTGTGTGATATGTACTATATGTACATTTCTGAAATACATAACTTTTACCTCTGTTACTGTAATGAACCACAGGGAACAGAGGAATCCATTTGCAGCTTTATTAAACAGAGTCGTACAGGCAGGGTCGAGACGAGGCAGACAGAGCAATGTAGACAAGACAACAGGAATATCCAGGAGACAGGCAGAGATCAGGGCAGGCAGCAATAATCGTAATCCGTAAACAGTCCGAGTTCAGGCCAGGCAGATAACAATCGTAGAAGAGTCAAACAGTCCAAAGTCCAAAAACCAGAAAATCAGAATCAGGGTATAAACGCTCAGAAATGATCACCGGGGCAAATCAAGACTTCGCACTGGTGTGGTGTGTGAAGGTGGCTTTTATGGGTGTGTGCAAATGCAGTGCAGGTGTGATGCGCAATCAGTCCCAGGTATGAGGCATGATGGGAATTTGAGTTTAAAGCCAATAATCAATATTCCGGGGAAGGCTCCCTCTGGTGGCGAAGAGGAGACGGAGCGGGAGCCTCCATTGTAACAGTTACCTCTGATAACTGATTACTCTAAATTGTAATGTGGACTGTATTTTCTTTAAAGCTGCTTTTTGTCTATTGTGAAAAGCACAAATTAATGTGAATTGAATTGAATTAAATTGTATATAAACAGGTGGGACAAAGAATCAGATATGGTCAAAAGATCTGTATGTAGAAGGGCTGAGGGGAACCAGCAGAGCCAAATATAGCACAACAAAGGAGTTATATGCAAGCTTTATTTAATAATACAAAATCGCTCAAAACACAGAAATGCATAGAAGATAACACTTCAGACCTATAACATTGACATCCAGTCTTAACTTTGAGTCTGAGATAACCGAAACACTGAAACACAGGAATGAAAAAATGAAACGGATGAAAAATAGCCTCTGGCTAAATCTGGTACAATACATGAAATGGTAATTTTATGTTAAAAATTCTGCATGGTCCCTTCATAAATAAATAAAGAAAGAAAAAGAAAGAAAGAATTAATACAAGGAACAAACTAATGAGAAAGTGAACTAAAAGTAACCAAGGTAAGTAATATATGAACAAAACAAGAGTAAAAAGCAAACCAAAACAGAACATAAGAGAATATTTGAGAAGAGAACACACACACACACACGTACAAATTATTGTACCTTATACGTTAGTGAACTCTATTGCAATTTTGCTGAGAGTGATGATTGGGGTCCTTGAGATGTTGACATTTGTACTTTTTTCAGTTGCTTATAAACATATTAATGGCACAGGTGAAATTAAATTATATTTAGCACAAACAGGGCTACCATAATATGTGAGCAACATGTATGTACATGTTTGTATTTTTGAGAGAATATTGTGTATGCGTGGTTATTGAAAAAAAAAAACCTAAACAACAGAGTTTCTGAAATAAGGCCACAAAACACATACGAAAAGATGCCTCCACAAGACTTTTGACAAATTGATGTTGTTGTCTAGATTATTTGGGCATGTTTATGCAAATTACTAATCCCAGGTGTGCAGTTCACAGAAAAATTCACAAATACAAAATTCATTAACTTTAGAACAAAATCATTTCAGAGAAGTTTTCCTGTGCATATAAATACAAATAATCCATGCAATTATTAGTATAGTTGATGGTTACATAATAGAATGATTGCAAAATCTGATTTCACCCAGCGCATATCTATTCTATAGTGTGGCTCGTGCAACATACTGTAATTTAAATCGTTTTCTGCAAAAACCTCTTTCTCCCCTTAAGCTCAAATATAAATCAGTAGTATCATATTTTTTAAGTTTAAACTAAATTTCTGTCGTCATTTGCCAATTCATTTCTTGTTCTTTGAATTTCTGTCAAGACATTGCAAAGCTCTGAATGTGTTTTCCTCATCTGTGCGATGGCTTTGAGTACAGGGGATTGGACCTTTTCTGGATCATCTACTCTTCCCTGTCTCATCCGGTGAATCTCTCTGGCATCTTTCACGATAAAGGCGATGTCTGCTATGATTAAGATTCCACTCAACACTCCTGAAGCTGCAGCGACTGCTCGTCCGACACCGGCAGACTGAACAGCAATTCTGCCGAAACTTGCCAACATGCCAAGAGTCACGAATTGTGTGACACCAGCTACTCCGGCTCTGCCTAATCTCCATGATATTTGCACATTATCTAAAGTTGAGCTACTGACAAAATCACGGAACTTTGTAAGTTTTCTCAGTAACTTTCTCAGTTTTTTGAGTGACTTAAGAATCGGTTCACTTGCTTTTTTGTAGTCCTGCTGAAGTTTTTCAAACCTCTCACGGAGTGCTTTTTGTTTGACATTATTGGTAATGTTGGATGCAGCACCTGTTACACCTCCTGCAACTCCAACACCAATCCCAACACCAGCTACAATCAGAGACGCTCCAAATGTGAACGGTGACAAAATTGCACCAACTAATGCAGTGATTCCTCCAGCGGCTCCGATCACTGAACCGGTCAGACTGCCTATAGTGCAGTTATGATGGATCTCCTCTAGTGAATCTGTTGCTGTTTTCCACTCACTCACTACAGTATAAAAGTCTTTATAGTGCTCACTGTAGGCCTCATTAAAGGTATCGATGGAAGTCAATAACCTTTGTTGAAGGACTTCTGGAATCCTCCTATTTCTCTTTACTGCATCTTTCAGGAATGGTTTAGCCAGAATCTCATCAGCTGAAGGTCTCCTATGTGGGTCACAACTGAGCATTTGACTGATTAATTTCTTTACATCTTCCGAGTATATATTTGAGATTGTGGGTGTGGTTCCCCTCAAGCTAATGGCATGAAGATGTCGACGCTCTATGATGTCTGACTGTCAGATAAAGAAAAAAATAAAAGTGTTTAAACCTCTAAATTAAAAAAAAAATGTATATATATATATATATATATATATATATATCCTACATTGGAGACCCGCTTTAAAGAATAGAGGGATTTATATATACACTCCACACTCACCCACACATCCAGCATGCAGAGATCATGAAGCAACCATCCCAATGACCAGATGTCACTAAACAAAGACAGTATAATTTAGTTAGTTACCTCAATTTACATCTCTGTTCTGATTTTCATTTAAATTTGGTTTTCCCTATAGACCCCTTTTCAGTTGGTAAACAAGGTGACGTTTTTATGTGGGCGGAGCTTAGGTGGAGGCAGAACGATCCCTCTGGCCGCTTCACTAATGTTAGTTAGCTGAACCATACCGAACCGAACCGTGACACAAGTGTCTCTGATCGAACCGAACCGTGATTTTGTGAACCGTTACACCCCTAAAATATGTCTCAAGATAAACAACAGTAATGTTTTTTTTATATATATATATATATACATCTTTATAAAAGGTACTAAAATTGAACAAAGTGTGTGTATTACCATATATTTTACAAAAAACATACCTTTTGGAATTATGTCTCTTTTTATGGATCTCTGGGCTGATATAGAGCTCTGCACCCACAACCGATGTTGCATATTCATCAGCACTGAAACAGAATAATCAAACATGTAAATTTAAATGGATGGAACTGACAAAATACCTTCAAAAATCCTATTACTATTTAATTTCACCTTTGCAGCACTTTTGAGCATCCAAAATCCCCTAGATTGATGTAACCATCCTCAGTCAGAAACACATTCTAGAAGAACACCATAAATCATCACATGAACACAAACACATTCACCTTTCACTTTAATAAATGATCAAATGACCTTAGTCAATGTCTACCTGAGGTTTTATATCTCTGTGGAGAATGTTCTTCTTATGGAGATGCTGCAGAGCCAGACAAATCTGAACAAACCAGTCAATGATCTGCACACAGAAGAAAAACAAGACAGCAATAATGTATTCCATGCAATGTGCTGTTTTTTATTTGGTATATTTCAGTTCTAAAAGCTTGCATTTGCCATTAGTCTACCATAGTGAAGAAGAAAAAATGGTTCTTGTTTTACAGTATATGCCCAAAAGTATCAGTGTATTCAGTGTTGAGTTGAGTATTAAAGGGCACCTATTATGCCCCTTTTTACAAGATGTATTGGTCAAGATGTATGGTCTCTGGTGTTCCCAGAATGTATTTGTGAAGTTTCAGCTCAAAATACCCCACAGTTAATTTATTATAACCATTTGAAATTGGGTAAAACATGGTGCTAATCACTGTTACTTTTTACAAAGCCACCTAATCGCAGCAGAGGACAAACATATACAGATGTTACAGCAGCGATAACAGATGACAATACAAGCACATTCATCCAAAACATCCAAATATGTTTTTTTTTTCCTTGTGTTTGTGTCTCAAAGGTTTATTGAGTTGGTTTTAACCTCTTTCCCTGCACAACGTAACTTAACAGTAAATTAAGATCAAGTTTGGTACACCAGAAACTATAATGCTTACAACGCTTTTGACAAAATACATCATAAAATATGTTTAGAACTACAATTAGCATCACATAATATAATGAACAGCTCTAAAGCGAATGATCTCTCTGACTCAGAGTGCCTATAACACTCACCTGTTCTTCTTCAAAAGGTGTGTTTTCTTGTGCTTTCATTTTCTTGAACAGATCTCCTCCTGCACAGTACTCCGACACAATGTAGAAGTACCCAGATTCTTCATATTAAAAAAACATTCAAAAAATAAACCAAGTGATGTATTATTATGAAATATCTCCGTTTACAAATATAGACAATTACATATGTATAAACTACCAGTCAAAAGTTTGGAAATTCTCTTATTTCTCTCATTCCTCCAGTCTGCAGTGTCACGCTGCTTTGATCACAGGAATAAATGATATGTTACAATATATTCACATAGAACACACTTACTTGATACAGTTAAACATATTTCACAGTATCACTGTATTTTTGATCAAACAAATGAAGCCTGGGTGACCCAAAAAAATCATATTTATTATAAACTTCTGACTGCTAGTTTATGTCCTCACATGCCTGTATATGAGTCATATACAAGTAATATAAATTTACCTTTCAGAGTAATCTCTTATACTAAGATTCAGATTTTTCTTTTAATGTTTAATCACTTATTCACAAGTATTTAAATATTTAATCACAAGCACAGTTTAAAATAAATGCATTATATGTCATTTAAACACAATATTCTTTAAACTTTAAAGGTCCCCTGACGTGAAATTTTCTTTCTCTGAGGTTTTTTAACATTAATATGAGTTCCCCTAGACTGTATTTGGTCCCCTCGTGGATTTTCAATCGGTGTAAACCGAGCTTTGGCTATTTTTCTCTTCTCTGCATTCGTCTGCATCTCAGACGCGATGATCTAGAATCTCCCCCTATATACGTCATATAGGAGAAAGGTTACTCCCCTTTCTCTGTTTTGCCCGCCCAGAGAACGATTTTTAGTTTTTTTTCTATGTGTACTTAATATAATTTAAACACACACCTTCAAAGCAGTCCTCGTAACCAACGATATATCCATGCTGCAGTTTCTTCAGGATGTTGATTTCGTTTCTGGCTGTGTCTAGATTAAAATTCACATTCTGCAAAGAAGAATTTAATTTATATCATGTTTATACTGTATATAGGATCTTACTGATATATTCAATCAAACCACCTATCTTCTTAGCATGGTTTCCGCTTGTTGCAGGGATCACTTCTCACACACAATTGGATTTCTCACAGGTTTTATGCCAGAGTTGGGACACAATCACACAAAAGTAAAATTTCTTTGGCATTGAACCAGGAACTATCTTGCTGTGAGACGACAGTGCCTTCCCTAATTAATATGTTCAATACTTTAATAAACTCTTGCTTGTACTTACATCTCTGTAGTTGATCTCTTTGACCACAAAGTAATCTTCATCTGGATTCTTCACCAGAAACACTCTTCCTGAAATCCCGTGTCCAAGTTCTTTTATTATGGTGAACTCATGTTGTTTTAACACTTCTACAATCAAGATAAAGTTTGAAAATTACCATTAGCAAAAATAACACTTTATAAACACACATATTATATATATAAAAAAAAAAATACAATATATTCAGTAGCTTCTGATTACCTCATGCTTATTTATTATTAATGCTAATAATTTAATATATTTATATAATACTAATAGGCTACTTATAAGTATAAAAATACTAGTGTGTTTTGGTTTAATTTATTGTACTACTGTTCAATATAACAATATTATTCCAATTAAACTACCATTTAATGTACAGAACATTATATAAATATCAATGTATGTAATATTATATAAATATTTATATACAATTTATTTATGTAAATACAAACTAGAAGGTAGAAAACAACTGTGAGAGCACATACACACACACACAAACAGGATCTGTTGAAGCCCACTTCTCTTTGTTTTATTGAATTAAACTGGTTGTTGAGAGAAGTCTTGGTTTTTACTTCATCACAGATAAGAAAGGCCTGTAAGACTCAGTTTAGATATGCAAATCACAAAGACCCTCACAGTCACTGTTACAGGAGCATTCAGACTTTAATTAAATAAACTCACCTCCTCTTTCTGCTGCTCTGGAATCATTTTGTTTATTTTGTGCTGAATTACTCATCTTTAATGCTGTTATGAAAATAGGACAAGTGGTTAAAATTCAGTACTTAAAGGTTGTATCAGTGTGCAAAAGGATCAAGTGATGTGAGTCGGGACAGAGCATTTACAGCAAGTGTTCGATCAGACAAAAAAAAAAGTGTTCGATCAGACCACGCCCCTTTTCTGACATGTTGCGACATGTCCTGGCTTGCAGAGAGCGGTATGGGCTATACGCCTTATTCACGGCAGCGCCATCTTTGATTTTTAATGAGAATGAAAGCGAGGCTGTGAGGGATAGTCATGCATCTCTTCAATGGGCTGTATTGTTATTTAATGTGTTTTCGGATTGTTCTGCTCATGAAACACTGAAAAAATATCTTTCCAAGAAATTTCAGTTGACAAAAAACTCCCGACAATGTAAGTTGTGGAAAATTGTAAGTATATAGCAGTTTTATTCAGCTTTTTACAGCGGATGCCATTGGAAACACGGTAAGTCTATCCCTCACAGCCTCACTTTCATACCTGTCATGGCGCTGCTCTGAATAAGGTGTATAGAGTGCTGAAGTTACGATGTCACTCTGTAGGCCAAAACGCGGAAGTGAGTTAGCATTTTAGCATTACGGTTCCCTCGCTCTAAAGCCTATAGGATTTTTGAATGGGTTTTTGCTAAATGGCCTGAAATAAGGTCTGTGGTGAACAATGCCTCGAAATAATTTCACGTTTTAATCTATGACATAGAACACACAGTTATAACCTGCTTGTGTTTTTTTTAACTTTATTGTCTCTGATTGTGTTATTAAAATCTTTATATAGGCTTCAAAATGTATACATTTTGGATTAACTTGTAAAGATTATATTGCTAGACAAAACGTGTAAGGGTCACAACTCTTTGTTAAACACAGATCTTATTTTATGCGATTTTCCAAAAGTCTATGGGGAAAATGCATAGCTTTTCGACTGAGGGAACCCATGCGACGCTAGCTTCCGAGTTGTCCTACAAAGTGACGTCATCACTTCGGCACTCTATATGCACGCATAAGTTTCGCATTTGATGCAAGGATGCTCGTCAGTTTCCAGTTGGGTAAATTAAAGCGGAGGAAAACGAGATTATGGCAGTCTTCAAAATGTACTGTCCTCCCATCTTTGAAACGAAACTTTCATACTTTCTTAGATGTAATTTTACAGTGTATATATAGTTATGTTTATTTAGTATAATTTTAAAAAGAAGTATAAACAAGACTAGGGGTGTCTGTTTTCCCTGTTTTTGTGACTAACGTTTATTTAGTATAACCATGGACATGGACTGGAGTATAAAATTCAACATAAATTCTCGGTATTAGGGATGCACCGATCCACATTTTTTCACTTCCGATCCGATCCCGATACCCGACTTTGGATATCGGCCGATACCGATACTTTTCCGATACCAGAGCTGTGTTTGCTTTAATATTATTTATCATTATTGTTGATTTTATATGATGCTGAAATAAACTCCTCTCTACAGGCAAGGATGATATGTACGTATGTATGTCAGTATATATATTGAACAATAGATTAAACAAAGATACACATTATACAGGCCTACACAGTGCTTTAATTTCAGGAAGGTCTACTAACATTATTCAGGTATGGTCTAAGTAAAATAGCACTGCAAAACTTACCATAGATATATTTATGCTTATTAGAGCATAAGTAATTCATTCAAGAGCTGTGAGTGATTTTCTCTTTGCCTTTTGTTGTTTGACTCTCAGTAATGTCGCAATCGTCACATTTATACTGCTGCCCCTTTAAGAACGAGTTCAGATTTCATAGTCTACTGATGCACCATAGTTTCTCCCAACTACTTCCATAACTACGTTCATTTTAGACATAAACGGTTTAAGTGTTAATCTCCAAGCCGGTCGGTTTGACATTTTTCTTGTGCAGGCTACATTTGATCGTTTAGACGCGCATATGAAGCCCAGATTATAATTTGCTTGTCTTGTTGCGGTCTGTTTCGGAGCGCGCGCCGCACTGGGAACAGCATTTCCTGCGCAAATTTTGTGCTTTTAATAGCTCTCTTTATTATTAAAAGTGTCCCGCAATTTAGCAACAGCAGAGCCTGCATTTTACAACAATCACAGATCGTGCTGATTCTGTCTTAAAGTTTTAGTATTAAGGAGAAATGACAGTGCACCGCCGCGATGGGAAGAAAGTTGGCTAGACAGAATGCGGCTATTGTTTTTAATGGTTTTTTACCTCAATATATTCTTTAATCTTTGGAAATCAGACTAATATCATAGATATAAC